TACTCAGTGACTTTCCTGAATGACTTAAGTTTAGCGCCTGGAAGGTTTATGCTGTTTGATTTTTCTACTCTCCTTCCTATTTAAAAAGGGATATGGGGGAGAGGGGAGGTGATTCTTACCTGGGTGCACAGTAGGATTCCCCGGGAAACTTTGAAACTCTTATTATTCAGGCCAAACTGGAGACCAGCTCAGTCAGCATTTCTGAGGGTGGGACTCAGGCACCCCAGCTGCTCGGAGCTCCAGGCCATCTTGCCTGCAGCTGGCTGAGGCTGCTTTTTTTTTTTTTTTTAAATATTTATTTTACCTATACAATAGTTGGGGTACAGGCCAGAGGCGCAGGAGGGTGAGAGGATTCACCAGAGACAGAGCAGGAGCAGAACAGGCAGAAGGACTGAAATCCACTGCTGAGGGGAGCAGCGGCCGAGACAGGAGAGGTCTGTGCACCTTGTGGGAATCTCCCCAGCCAGCTGGGAATTGAACCCGCACTGCAGAGGCTGTGGACAGCTTCACAGCGCTGTGCTCAACCCGCTGAGTCACTGGGGAGACCCTGGCAGAGGCTTCTCTGCCTGTGTGTCAGCTGTGGCTCAAGGGAGGGCTTGAGCCTGGGGTACAAGTTGCTTTAATTTAAGGAGGAGGAGGATCCCTGGAGAGGGTAAGGGGCAGGTGGTGCACCTGGCAGAGGGAGAAGACTAGAGTTTGGGGAAGGGCAGAGGTTGAAAAAGCCAGGGCCAGAAACAGGACTCTCAGGAGGCGGCATTACAGGCACGGGGCGCTTAGCCAGGCTCCCCTGCTGTTAGGGTGAAGCTGAGGGTGAATGTCACATGGGCCCATGCCGGGGAGTGCCCTGAGCCCTGGCAATTCTGAGTCGGGTCAAGGAGAAGGCCTGGACCTTGTAGCAGGCACTGCTATCTTACCTTTACCAGATGAAGCAGAAGCCTGGAGCCTGGGAAGAGTGTTCAATCAAGCCTCTGAATAGCCCTCTGGAGGTTTGAGGCCTCCCAATCTTCCAGAAACCTCTCCTCTCTGACCTTGTTTCACCCCTAAATTGGGGGTGCAGGACTGACCCTGAGAGCACTGTGAAGAGCCAGTGGAATACCTGTAGAAATGCTTCCCGCTACGCCTGCTCTACACGGCAGGAGCCCTGTGGCCTGGCTGTTACCAAGACTGAGTCTAGAAACCTCAGGATCAGCAGCAGAGGTAGCCTCTCAAAAGAATCCCTGGCTGTATTTTCTGGGGCTGGGAACCCAGCATCTTGAGTTTACTTTGGGACTCCTATGAACCTTTGAAACTCAGTTTCCTGTCCCACTGGAAACACTGCAAGTCAGACATGTGCATATCCACATGTGGACCCACACACACATCATACAAGTGAGCAGCAGTTGTGCTGCCACCACCCATCCATGGACTGACCTGGCCAGGGAATGCAGCTCTGGGGGGCTGACCTGGCCGGGGGCTGCAGCAGGGCGCGGCCCCACTCTGTGATACACCGTGCTCATGTGAATCTGTGTGAATCGGCCATGGTATTGACACCACAGTTACCAGCAGGCACTATACGTTAGGTCCTGCTGATGTCCAAGAGCTGGTCACTCAACATTCTCCGGCTGGGCTCCTAGCGGCCTGGGCAGGCGTGGGAGTGGGGGTGACTCTAAAGTGTGGACCCTAGTTCAGCATGGCGGGGGAGCCTCAGGAGGGGATCAGGAAGGCAAGTCCTGCCCTCCCCGCAGGCCCGAGCTGGGGCCCAGCAATTTGTGGCTGATAAAGTCTTAGGAAGGCTGAAGCCTGAGAGGCAGAGCTCGAAGTCCCAAAGAGGAGTGGAAGGGACACGAGGGGAGATGCCCAGCCAGTCTGGGGCGGGGGCGGCATCCTCTCTTTATGTTCAAATATTATACAGAGAAAAGTCAGGAGAAGAGAATTCCATAACTCCACCTGCCACACACCTCTCCTCACTTCTCCATGTTTCTTCCATGATTGGAGCACGTTTATTTCAAAGTCAATAAATCAATAATCAATAAATTAAGCTGCTGTATTTCTTCTGCACATTAGTGTACGGTTCATTTGCATCCCAATCTCTTCCTGAAAACCACTCTTTAGACTTGGACACGTTCCCCTAGAAAAGCTGAGATTTTTCAAGAGATTTTGTGCTTTTCCCTCGGCCGCCTTTCGCCTTTTCTTTTCCTTTTGAGCCGCCGGCTGCACAGGGGCGGGTGGCACCTGGAATGTAATCTTCTGAACTAACATTCCTCCTGTGGGGCCTGGCCCGAGAAAAGGAAGGAAACAAGCCTCCCTGTCCCGGCAGAGCCGCGTGGAAAGGAGCCCAGACCCTTAATCCGTGTTATTCTGGGAAGTATGTCGGCACCCGTGGCTCGGGGCTTCATAACAGGCTCTTTGTTTCCGGGGTGGGGGGGTGGGGGGGCCTCAGCTCTGTTTTGGAGGAAGTTATACACGCCTTTGGAGCCTTGCGTGATGGGGCTGGCTTACCCTTTGGTTTTAAGTGAAGAACGTGTCTGTCTTCTGCAGCATATCGCTTATTAATCTGGGACACCACTGAGTAGCGCGACTCGGTAACACCACCTGCGTCCACACCTCCAGGGCCCTGCGGCTTTCCTAAGAACCCTTGCCTGTTTATCTGGCAAAGATTTATTGGGAGTGCCCTCTTAGTCCCCACTTCACCGCGCTGGGGGAGTGGGAGACAGAGGGGCTCTTGAGCAATGCGAGGTCCTTCTGACTAGGTGCTGCTTGGCCTGCCAGGTGGTGGGGACGCTGGGGGAGAGTGACAGGGGAAGGGAATGCTGGGCCGGCCTGCAGAGGCAGGTGGGAGGTTCCGGGCTAGCAGCGGCTTCCCAGGTGAGGACATATCCTGTGCAGTGAGGAGGCAGGGCGTAGGCGGTCATTGACAGGGCTGTTCACAAAAGTTGGGGGTGGGTTGGAAGATGAATGGCAGGAAATGGGATGGAAATAGGGGCAGGTGTTAGGTGGTCAAGTCCTTGCTGCTCCAGGATAGTCTGCTTGGTCTTTATTCTGAGACATTTATGCCTCAGAGGGTGCCATCTGTTCAACTATACCCATTCACCTTCATCCACCCACCCACCCACCCACTCACCCACCCACTGTTCCCTAATCTAGCTCTCTCCTGTGTCCCCGTGTCTCTTGACCATCATCGATCCATTCATCTATGCACCCACCCTTCCAGTCTGATACACTTTTTTCTTCCTCCTGGGCCCTGGAGGTCTTGTGGTTTCTCTAGCAACTCCTTCTATACTATGTATCCTACACCAGAACTACACCTCTCCTCCTGTGTCTACATGCAGACTATTCAGTTACGGCATTGTTAGAAACAGGGAATTAAATAGTCATATGACAACAAGGCTTACCTGGCCTTGGTTGGAAAGCACGTAGCCAGGATAAAGGTGTCACAGTAGGAAGGTGTGCTGAGCACAGTGACGTGGAAATGTCATCCTGACAAATAATTCTTTCAAAAGTCAGTTATGAAGCTGTTAGAGCATATGGCAACACACACCCTTCACATAATTATGATGTATTTATACCCTTCGAATAATAAAAAAGGAATCAGAGAATTAAGAATACACTATTAAAAGAATTCTGTACATTAACATTTTCCTAAATTTTTTTTTGAACCGGTGTGGGTTAGGGAAGTGTTTTAGGTCTTGGTCTTATTAAAATGGGTTACATCTTGTAAATACTTGGGGCTAACGTTTTCCATAGTCGTTTGTGGGGAAGAAAACATTTTTGTTTATTATAGAAGACAACACACACACACACACAGATATACACCTCAAGGTAAATAAAAATCACCCAGACATAACTATTAACACTGGCGTGTATTTTTCCAATCTCTTCTCTATATATTTTAAAACATAATCAAGATCATTCATCTTATACACTTTGGAATCTGACTCCTCCTCCCTCGATTTAGTATATGACGTAAAAAAATACTCATAAATTTCTTGGGAACACCACGTTAGTGACTGCAAAAAGCACCATGGCTTGGATGGTCCAAACTTTCTTGAATGATCTCCTTAGCTGAGAGCTTAGGAAGCCCCCGGTGTTTTGCTCTTATTAAAAGATGAAGTCCCTTCTGTTTCCCACCTCTCTCAGAACTCTGGTTATTCCCTCTTAGTAGAATTCTAGAAATAGAACAACTGAGAAAAACAGTTTAATGCTGACACTTCAACCCCTATGGCCACTCCGCCTTCCCAAAAGGCACCTGGCCTTCCCGGCAGCTCTTTGCCAAGTCATGGAGAGTCCCCAGCTCTAACCTTTAGGGGATGTGTGGGGCTTGCTGCCTATCTGGTGAGTGTGCTGTGAGACTTCCGAGCGAACATTTGTCAAACAAAAAGAAAAACAAACCCCCAGAATGATCTGCCTTTCCTACTTTGTGTGCTTCCAAATCCAAACCAACCTTTTCATAAAAAACTAAAAGAAATGGCTCAGGATCCGTTTAAACCTGAATTTCAGATCGTGCTGATGCAAAGTTCCAGATCTGAAAGTTGTAAAAGAGGTTTCTGTTGAACAAGATAATTTCCTGCTCACTTTTTACACTAAAACGGAACGTTTACTCACTACAAGTCAGCTCATTGCCGCCTCTTCTGCAGAGGGAGGGCAGCTGTGCCCCCCGCGCCTCCCACAGCGCACAGCCCTGCAGCCCTGCGCCCCGGGTGTGGCGGGAGGCTTGGCAGCCTCCGGGATGGGGTCAGGGGCTGCCAGGGCTCCAGCGGGCAGCTTTGGGTAAAGCGCCCCGACCGTGGGCTGAGACGTCCTGTGTCCGATCCCCGGCGGCTCCACACCTTTGGGCCAATCACCTACTTTGTCTGAGCCTCAGTTTACCAGCCTGGAATGTGAACCCAGTCCCAGCGGCGCAGCCCCAGGGGTGCCGGGACGGGCTGCCTCTCTGCCCCGAAGGCGCCACGGTCCCGCCCGGGAAGCGCCGCGACCCCAGGCTGGAGCCCGCGCCGCCCGCGCCGCCGGGGCGCCCGACTCACCTCCACCGTACATCTGGCACAGGTAGGGGAAGCGCCACACGTTGCCCAGGCCCACGGCGTAGGAGATGCAGGCGAACACGAACTGCAGCGGGTTGGCCCAGAGCGGCCGCGCTTTCTCCATGGCCCCGGACCTCCGCGCGCTCGGTTCCCGCTCGAGCGCCGCGCACAGCTGTTTGGGGGCGCGGCCGCCAGGCTCGCTGTCCCGCCCGGCTCGGCCTGGGGGTGGCCCCGCGCCTCCGTCGCGGCCGCCCGCCCGCTTTTTAATTGCTAATCTCATTAACGGCGCGCCTGTTGGAGGGGCGAGGCTGGTAAATGGATGACGGTGAGCCCCACCCCGCCTGGCCGTCGCGGCCGGGAAGGCGCCCGAGATTACCAGGTGCTGGGCGGTGCCGGGTCTCTGCGCCTGGACGTCCGGGCCCGTGTGTTGGCTGCAGAGCTCCTGGGCGTGATCAGGTGCCCTCAGCTACCTACCCATCATTTATTGAGTGCGTACTATGTACCAGGCTTTGTCTGGGGACGGGGCTGAGACAGGGACATATCCGACCCTCCTGGAGCTGACACTGGAAATGCCCTAAGATGGGCTGGATAAAATGTCCCATTTTAAGCTATTTTTGACCTACAGAAAGGCTACTTTACACGGTTCATCCTAGTTGGAGATACACAAGGAAGGCAACCAAAGGAAGCAAAGAGAGAGCGGTTCTTGGGAGGAGGGTGTGTGCTGGGATGGTCAGAGAGATTTCCAGACATGACATTTGCTCAGAGATCAGCAGGTAGAGAGGGGACGCCCACACACCTGGAGTTAAAAGGATCCATATTTCCCTCCATGCAGAGACTGGATTGTGTGCCTACTGTGTGCTGGCGGAATCTGGCTCTGCAGTGTTTGGTGGACCAGGGCCCAGGGTTTGAACAACTGCTGTGTGGACTCTATTGCCCAGGCCACTCAGCCTGGGCAGTGATAAATCACTCAACCTATCTGAGCCTTTGTTTCCTTGTCTGTAATGGGGTCAAACCTATCCTGCTCCCAAGGACTCATGTGAGAATTAATTAGAAACTTAACTTACTGCCTGCCACATAATACCTGCTTATTAAAAAGTCCATTATCACTATAAGTCCCCAACAGGTGAATGAATGAATAATATATTTAATAAGTTAGTATTAATGACACAATTTGAACAATTCATAGTAAGAGCTAAGAAAAGGCTTCATCAATAAATGCATGCAGTTTAAAAAAGACAAGAGGCAGAATTGCTAATGGAAATCTTACTTGAAGTCAAAATGAAATCACTACTCTGGGACAGTCCCTAGCTGCCTTTCCCTGCAATTCCTGCCTGGCTGCTAGCAGAAGAGAAGGGGGTGGGGAGTGAAGAAGGTGGACATGCGGGTCCTTGAACTTTATCTCCAGAGAGCAAAGCAGAACGAGCCCAAAATCCAGCAGGAGAAACTACTTTGATTTTTAAACTTCAGATTCTAGAAAGTGTTTTTCCTACTACCCCTTGCCTCCTCCCCAAAGGAACCCACATTCCTGATTTCTACCACCATGGTTAGTTTTGACCATTTTGACCTTTACAAAACCCAACATACTCTGTGTGTGCTCTTTTGTATGTGAGTCTAGTGGCTTACCATTGTGGGGTTGATTCAAGTGCTAGGGTAGACTTGCAGGTTGTTCTTCCTCACTGCTGCATAGTATTCCATGGTGTGAATGTGTTTATGACTGATGGGCATTTGTGTTGTCTCCAGATTGGGGCTCTTAATTGATAAAGCTGTAGGGAACATTCTAAGTATATGCCCTTAGTAGGTAGATATACTGTTTGCTGGGCCACAGGGCAGATGTATGTTGAGTTTCTGAGCCACAGGGCAGGTGTTACCCTATTAGTTGCTATAGTAACTATAGTCAAACTATTTTCCTGAGAGATCATACCAAATAGCTCTACCATGAGAGTTTCACTTTGCTTTGTATCTCCACTAACACTTGCCATTCAACTTGTAAAGTTCTACCGGGTCTTGTGGGCGGGTAGTGATAGTTCATTGTGGTTTTGAGTTTAATTTCCCTAATGACTAATAAGGCCGCATGCCTTCCGCCAGGCAAATTGGGTCATTTGGATATACTCTTTCAAACAGTGTCTGTTTAAGTTTTTTGCCAGGTTTTCATTGACTTGTCTGATCTTCCTCTGCCGACGTAGAGCTCTTTTTATATCCTGGGTGTGAGCCCTTTGTGAGTTTCCTGTATTAGCAATTTCTTCCCTTGGTCAGTAGGTTGTCTTTTTATTCTATTAGTATTTTCTGACAAACAGAATTCTTCATTTAACAAACTCTAATTTTGCAATCTTTTCCCTCATTTTTTTTCTTTTTTCCTTAGCAACTGTAAGGCGTGAGAGATATTCCAAAGAATTTAAATCCATGGCAAAAGAAGCCTCAGAGATAGGCAGCGAGAGCTGTTTTTTTTTATATTGTGAGTAGTGTAGCAGAGGCCTGCTATTGCCTCCCCCTAGCTGCCCAGCATGTTCTTGTTCGCGTAACTGTTCCTGGCATTTCAGAATCAGGCACCCTGGAGAGAGGCTTGGAATGGCTGCCTGTCCTCTGGAGTAAGAGACAGTCTGGTGTGTGTTGGTTTGACGTGGTTTGGCATGGGCGACACCCCTCTTCAGCTCCTTGCCCCCAGGATTAGGCCCTCACCCCCCTCAGACTCCCAGGGAGCCTGCCTAGGGTGTGAGACCCTGGGTGGGGCTGTGGGCAGCTCAAGGAGACATCCCCAGATAGTTTCAAGACAGTCCTAAGCAAGAGCAAGTGGGCCAGATGCCCTGGGCTCCTGCTGTGGTTCCGCCCCTGCCTGACACCATCTGATAGGCTAATCAGACAGACCATTGTGCTGCTGTGGTTGCTGGAAGAGGAAAGAGCAGTCTTGAGGAGGGGGGTGCATGTCCACAGGGAGCTTGCAAAGCAAGGGTGGGGGTCATTGTTGGTGGGCTAGCAGGAGCTGGCTCTCTGCAGCAAAAACTCTGATTTGATAGATTTGCCGATGTCTGTGGGATGCATACTTCCACCGTGGCCGATGCCAAGCCAGCATACCTGGGTTCACTGGGTGTGGAGTTGGGGAGCAGTGTGCGGTAGGCATCATATCCCCTCCATCATGCAATGCAGTTGATAACTCTGAGAGAGTAGATAATAGGGCATTCCTCAGGGCGTGGTAGGCTTTGAACATGACCTCTGTGTCAAATCACTTATTTATTAGTTTATATAACTAAATTTTACATAATGGTTGTGTTTAACAATCAGCTTATAAAACTCCTGAGGATGTACCGGTTGGCACTCCCCTATAGGAAGTGGCACTCCTAGGGCCTGGGACTGGGAAGCTATTCTGAGTGGCAGGGGCAGGGAATGGAATTCAGCCCTCAGCAGAGTCTGGGGCCTCAGGATGGCAGGGTTTTCAGCAGAGCTAAGTCACCCTGGAGTGAAGGTTCCCTGGGGCCTCCAGTATGAAGAAATCTTCCTACGGACAGCCTGACCCATCTCTCTGTGCCACATGCCAGTCTGGACCCAGCTCCAGAGAATGGACAGCCAGCAAACCAGAGCTACTTGGGTACAGGAAAAGGGTGTAGAGAGAGGGGCTGGCCTGACTCAACTGCCTAGGTGTGGGTCACAGCCCCGCCTGGCTTCTTACCCCACCAGCTAGGGCTGCGGCAGCACACTCACCCCAGGCCTCCCTTTGCTAGCTAACAAAGTGGCTTCCTGTTCCCCACAAGATAAAGTCCAAACTCCTTCATCTGTAAAGCCTAGAGGAATTTGACCCTTGCTCTCTTAGGCTCTTGGAGAAGTTAGACTTTTCACCTTCAGGAAAATGCTGCGCGTGTTTATGTTTCTCAACAGTTCCCTCGGGCAGGAACACCTTTTCCCTTCTCGACCCAGGAAAAACCTATCCATCTTAAAATGTTACCTTTTTGAAGACGCCTCAGCACCTAGTCACCGGCCAGAATACATTGCTCCCTCTCCCTACCCGCAGCCGGGCCTCTCTGGTTTCTGACATTGCAGGGCTGCCCTGGACGGGTGTGAGGGACATGTCCCCTCCGGACTGGGGCTGGGGCTGGTGTCGGGTCTTATTCATCTTCTTATCCCCCATGCCAGGCACATGGTTGAGTCCCAATTAAAGTCAGCTGCTGCGGCCAAGACCTGCTGCAGAATCTGAGTGCTACAGTCTAAACCATTCCTTTTGTTCCACAGCATCACCAACTCTGGGACAGATTACAGGAGGTTTTTTCAGACATTCAAGTATTTACTGTCCACCTACTGTCCACCACTCTCTCGGGGGCAGAGGCCCACACAGTGAAAATAGGAGTGTGGGAGACACCAGGGGGTTCTACAGAGGAAATGGGGGGCTGATGGGGTACTGGCCCAGCTCAGAAAAAGAGGGTGCTCCCAAGAGCTGGGGGACCCCTGCCCCAGAGTAGAGTGTGTGGGCACGTGTGTATATGCACCGGTGAAGGTATGTGTGCCAATACGTGTGTGCGTGTGCATGCATATACATGCCTCTGTAGACACACCTCTGCTGAGGAGGCAGGAGTGCCCCATCACTTTTTCCTGAAACCCGGGACTCTCACGCACTCTAGGGGTTTCTAACCTTTGAGGCCGGAGTTTCAGAGCTGCAGCAGAGCTCCTCAAGCGCCAGTGACCCCCCGGAATCCCTTACAGTCTTGTCACAGCTCCTGCTTCAGCAGGATCAGAATGGGGCCTGGGATGCACATTTCCAACATGCTCCCAGGGGTGCCCTTGCTGCTGGTCCAAGGCCTAACCCCCCAGTCAGACCTTTCCACATTTCCCACATGCTGGCTGTGTCTGTCATTTTTGTAAAACACTGTATTTTGCAATGTTTGTGAGCCACATGCTTCTTATTTTCCATTAAATTAATTCACTTTTTCATGTAAACAATTTAACAAATGAAACTTTATGCCACTACCATATGTGCAAGCTAGTGTTGCTTTCATGCGTTTTAAGATAAATCAATGACACTAAAGTTTTCACAAGTCCATGCTGTGCCTTGAACCCTCCACCCCAGTATTCCAGTGCCGGGTCCGTGCCGGGCACCGGGACCTTGTCCACAGAGCCCCAAGGATGCGGCTGTGGAATTGCGCCCAGGGCTTGGAAAGGGCGGAGGGAGCCCGGGCAGAGCTGCCTCCTGACATCTTTACATTGTATGCTTCTGCGTGCATTTTATTTGATGAAAGAGTTAAGGTCCCCCA